CACGGGCGATCTTTGCCCGCGTGCGTGACGGCTTCTCTGCGTGCGTGACGGACGCACGCGCGTTCCCGGGCAGCCCGAGATGTGTGGCTGCCAAGGCCAATTTAATCAAAAGGCAGAGCGCATGACAGCGGAGGTCAGGGGTCACGGGGTCAGACGACTGGCAGCGGGGTCGCAAATAACCAGGTTGGATGGTTTTATGGCGCCGAGGGCCGGGAAGAGACAAAGACGACACACGCGGCGCTGACACCATTAACTTGATAGCGACCTTACATTAATACGAGCGCAAGAAGCCACATCCTCTTGACGCTGCCCGGATGGTTAAGTGTGGCCCAATAGCCCGCCGACTCGCGTACTTCTGGAATTGCGCTTTGCCGTTAATTCACAGTTTAATTGGCGACCCAAATTTATTCAAAGCGTGTGCTGCCAACTGCCCACAAGGCAGGTAACGACAAACAAGCGCTGCGCGACGCGCTTGTCGCAAGCGAGAGAATCGACGTTCAGTGACGAATCGACGCAGCGTTGCGTGCCTACACATTTGCGTCCTTTTGCTGAAACGAGACTTTACAGTCCTCCCCATTAAAACAAAGACAAAGATCCCCCTTATAACTGTTGGGGCAAGAGCTGTTAGCGAGCAGCTATGAAGGTCACCAAGGCAGACGAGGTGGTGAGTGCATCACGTCCAACCACCTATCCCCTCAGTCGCGATGTTTACACACCGCACCAGGTACTCATTTGCGGCTCAGTCAACCTAGAGGAGGCCAAGGACCAATTTAGATAATCGTCACTTGGTGTTGACCGTGAGCGGAAATCGAACTCGGGTCGCTGGGTTAATAGCTCAGCGCGCTAACCGCTGCATCTCCCGCTTCCCCATTACAAACACATGCAGCTACAGATAGACGTATGTATGTACGTTGAACTTCTTAATGCACCGTACGTAGCCAACCGAGCCCATCGGAGGTGAGGTGCAGGAAGAGCGTAGAGACGCCACGTGCTGGCCACACTCACCGCCGCGGCACAGCGGCAGGGTGCGCGCAAGTTCGTTTGGGGCGGCTCCCAACTCTAGCAACGTCCGGCTGCCGCCGGCATTCCGAGTGCGTTCGACTGATGAAGGCTTTCCCGTGTCGTGCTGGTGACTGGCCGTCGTTTGGCCGAACATCGCCGCGCCGTGGGGCGTGCGGGGAACGAGGGCCGGGTCAGATGCCACCCTCGCCACCGACGTTAGCCGTGGCCCGGGGAATTGAGCGTAACCTGCCGGGGCTCGCGGGGGCGGTGACACGCTAACCGCCGTGTGACCGCTTCCCCTATGAAAGCGTGACGTGTTATTATTTGGCCCAGAGCAGGGATGCAGACGGTGAAAACCCCAAGCCGGCCCCATCAGGCTCACAGATATCTGCAGATCCTTCCCCGTCGCTCGGGTGCGCGTGCGTCTCGCTGTGGGGGGGCAGTTCTCCTTCAGGCAGACGGCCGTGTTATTCCAGCAGTGGCGGCGTCTAATTAAAAAATCCATAGGTTTACAAAAAACAAGGGGAGGCGGGCGAAGGCAACGCCGGTCAATGGCACCTGATTTAATCTCCGACACGGGGCGAGGGGGGCGGGCACGCGGCACACGGAGAGGTGAGCGCACGGAAAGACAAAGCCTACGTGTTACAAAGACAAAGATCTCCCCGTGTAGCCTGTCGGGGCAAGTGCTGTTCACGAGGAGCACCCATGAAGGCCGGCGCGACACACGAAGAGGGTGGGGGGTGGCCAGCACAACGGCCGGCCGCCTTTATCTCCCTAGCCGCGGTGTTTACACACACCGCACCAGGTACTCATTTGAGACCGAGGCCCCAGGGCTGATGGAGATCATCGTCACCGGTTCTGGTCACGATGCCGAAATCGAACTCGGGTTCCCGTGTTCGTGGCGGGGTTCAGAGAGCACCGATGTTCGCCGCGGCTGGGAACTGACCTCGGGCTGCCAGGTTCAGAGCGCAGCGTGGGTCGTCCAATCCCGCAACGCGCTACCAGCAGCAATTGCTCATTGAAGGGGCTCGGATGACTCAATGCCCATTGGCTTTGCGGGGGGGGGAGGGGAGGTGGACACCAATTCACTTAATTCCACAATGTAGAAGAATGCTTTCAGGTACAGACGTTTAGCTAGCGAGAGGCTTTCAACGACGAGAGGGAAAGAAAGATTGCTGCGCACGACGAGCAGAGAGAGAGAGAGGGGGGGGTACAGCGGCCGCGGGGAAATTGGGGGCGCAGCGGCGGAGCGCGCACAGGACCGGGCCCAAGCCTCTCGGCTCCTTCGCGAGGTCTCCGCGAAGGAGGCCGGGCGACTCGGGGGTGGGGGGGGGTTGGGGGAGTCGCGACCCACAGTTTGAGAAATGCTGAACCGGAGGATTTGTTGTTAATTCTGGAAGGCCGCCACCCGTGGATCGGGGGGCGGGGGGTGGGGGGTGGCGACGGGCGGGGAGGCGACACCGTGTCACGGATGCCGAGCCGGCGCCGCCGAGAAGCCTGGGTTCGAATCGGGGTTTCGGGATGCTCTTCGTGAAAGCGAGTTCTCGGCGTCGAGGGCAAAGTGACTTTCTGCTGAAATCATCAACGGGACAGACCGGGGCTCGTCTCCCGTTTACTCGGATAAGCTGCGTCAACGTCGCTCGCTCGCACCCAGCCGCCAGCGAGGTCAGGACGAGCAAGAAGCGCCGAGGACAGAGAGAACGTCACTTGACCGCCACTTCGAAAGCAATTTACATCAATTAGCAGTCATCAGCGATGCATGCTAATTCATGCTAATGAAGGGAAGGCGACGGCTCTGCGCGGGCGGCCTGGCATGATGACAAGCACCCGCACGATGCCAAACGTCGCGAGCCTGTCGCGTAGAACTGCCAAGAGGAAACGGGCACCCAGAGAACCTGTTGGCCGACACGCCGCTGGTGCGGCGTTTTTAGAATTCCAGTGGAACGATGGCAGCCCACTCCAAACTGCCTTCGCCTCTCAAACTCGAAGTGAACACATTGAGAATTATTTTATTTTTATTAAACCAACAGCGCTGGCACAAATGCATCATTTTGCCACCTTATAATACGCAAATGTATTTCACTTGAACACACTGCACGCCAGCGTTTATGGTAATGGAAATTAAAGACTTTACATTTACATGACATATTAATGGTAACGTGACAGGTAAAGGGGAGCTGGTTGGCATGTAACAAACGTACGTATTCGCGCTGCCCCGGCCGATTCTTGACAGAGGCCGTCACGCTCGTGTTGCCAATGGCTCACGTGGAACCCACGAATTTCATCGCGACGAGCAAACCGCTCAAATTGCCGAGGATCGGCGACGACCGAGGCAACGTTCATTCACGCTCGACTCTGCTGATGAGACACCGCGTGTCGAAGCCGGCCAAGAGTTTGCTTGTTGACGAATCAACGCTGCTGACGTGACGTGCTCCCAGAAGGCCGTGCAGCCGATGTTGAAGAAATGCTTTTAGTTTTTTGCGCGCAGAGGCGGATTCGTTGAGGGGACGGACCGTCCGCTTAGTCGTGCGGCGATGTATTTCCTCCTCGACGGGAACCATTAATCATCGAGTTAATTCAGGTTTTGGTCGAGGGCAACACCGACGTTCAAACGATGTAGGCGCGTGTGCCGCAGCATCTTCTAGCTCATTGTACTTGCCTCTCTCTTTCCCCCGGTTGCTACCCCGCAACCCACGAGGCAACTTCTCGCCAAGACAAACTCTCCCGCACGCAACGCCCACCCCCCCCCCCCCCCCCCGCGACATCCCCTGCGCTGCTTCGCTCGGCGGCAGAGCGAGCGCCGTCTCGGTCGCCGTTTGCCGCAGAGCGCTTCGCTCCGGAAGCCGCTCGCGTCCCTGACGGGACGAGCTCGACGGTCCCGGGGCTGCGCCGTTCGCGACGCAGCCGCGCGACGATGCACCGATTCGCCGTGTTCTAAAACGTCTGTCCTCTCGCTTGACGAGATGCAATAAAAGCAAGTTCACTCTGCCAGGCGACCGCGTCCCACGCGTCGAGACGGTGCTCGCCCCCTCGCTCTCCCCCCCAGTGACCCGGCGATTCAGAGGTCACGATTCGATGCGAGAAGAGATCGTTTGTCGTCCCGGTTTTGTCGCCGGCTTCATAGCGTAAGCTTTGTTCGCTCAATCAACCCAAATGTAGCTTTAGCATAGAACGCGCATATGATTTGCACAAGACGGGACACAATTGATTCTCACCCATCACAATTCCATGCTTGTATCGGCAGCGTCATAATAATCGAACTTAGTTGATGATCCACCCGAGGCAGGCTCAGCGGCCAGGCAAGGGTGCGTTGGCTGGACTATTAAAATCGATTGATATAACCCGCGGTGGATTGGAGGCAAGCCAGCCTGAATGTTTATGGGTAGGACAGGAATTATTGTACGGGAGTCCACAGTTCACAAGCAAAGAGAATAGAGGGCATGACAGCGGATGAGAAAACGCCATGCACCTCGTGTGGCTGGAATACAAACACAAAATATCCCCCGTATAGCCTTAACAGATTGTTGGGGCAAGTGCTGTTAGCGAGTAGCACCTATGAAGGCTGGAACGGGTACACGAGGGGGTGGGTGACCAGCACCACACCCGGCCGCCTTTGTCTCCCCAGTGGCGATGTTTACACACCGCATAAGGTTCCCATTTGGGTCAGAGTCAATCTAGAGCAAGGCCCGTGAATGGTTCAAATAATCCTCACTGCTGTTGGCCGTGAAAAGGAATCGAACTTGGGTCGCCGGGTTCGTGTCCGCTGCACTGCTGCTCTCCAAATACACGCACATGCGCACGTACGCACTCGCTCGCATACACGCACGCACGCGCTCGCACGCACGCACGCACTCGCGCGCACGCACGCACGCACTCGCATGCACGCACGCACTCGCATGCACTCGCACGCACGCACTCGCACGCACTCGCACGCACGCACTCACTCACTCGCACACACGCACACACTCGCACGCACTCGCACGCACGCACGCACGCACCTTGAGTTGGATTGTGACTCTCCCAGAAGACTTTAAGCAGCGACTCGAAGGAGGTATCGTTGGGGTTGAACACCACGCGCACCACCTCCGTGTGCCCCGTCAGCCCTGCCCGGGTGATAACAACAGGGAGGAGGGCAGCATTGCTTTAGAGCAACAGCAGCAACAGAAACAACAGCAACAACAGCAACAACAGCAACAACTTAAACTGCAACAATGTCTCCACTGCGTCACACGTGGGTGACGTGTGACACTAGCCGGCACATTAAAGGGCCTGGGAAGAAGAAAATGCTCATTTCAATTTACGAAAATAATTACCGTACGCTTTGCAAAGGGATTGCGCAACACACGTACACGTTCACGGCACTGATGGGGCACGTGCATTGGGCATTGGGCGGCGCGTCCAGCGAGCACACATAGTCGTCGTTGGGAGCGCGTGAAGTGAACGTGCAATAGTTGGGCACGCAGTCATTGGGTGGGGACTCGGTGAATGACGGGCGTTCGTTTGACACGCGATCAGCGAGCACGCGTTGAGCGGCTGAGCGTGCGGTGGTGTACGCGGCTCGCCGAGCCTTGAAATCGCTCGCGACAAGGTCTCGTCGCCAACGCAAATGAGAACCCGCCGTCCGTCCCAGCGGTCCGTCTCCTCCCGGGACGCACGGAACGCCATTTGCGAGCGACGTTTCAATTAGCGGAGGCGGCATGGGGACGACGAGGAGGAGGCGCGAGGCAACACATCTCCATTCCCAACGCAACGGTACAGGGCGCACAGACGGCCCGACGTACGCACGCGCTGCGCAACCCCGCTCGCAACGACGCAAAAACGTGCAGCTGCGCACGGGAGCAGTGAACCCAGAGAGGTGGCGCGATTGATCGCTCGACGCTTCCATGCACCAGCGGGGGAGGGGGTGGGGGCAGAAGTCGGAGGGGCGGGCGGGTGAGCGGTGCACGGCGCATCGCCCTCGCCGGCATGCCGCTCTGATCGCGTCGCGTCTGCCGTCGAATGCAAATTTATTTCGTGCTCCTTGCAAACACCGAGCGGTGCAATGCATCTCTCGCCGTGGAGAGGGCCCTCGTCTCTACTGACTGCCGCTGAGCAGGCGGTGCCAATTCGACATTACCACAACAACGCAGGAAAACTATTGTGCGAAATTTACAGAAACGTTCAAACGTGCCGCTGCTTTTGAGTTGCACCGCGCGTTGCTCGTCACGACGTCCGACATTCCGCTCCCCATACTGGCAGCTTTTTCAGGAATTGGACACGGGCAGCTCTTTGCTTCCCCTCGGTTAATTTGGCATCGCCGGCAGCTGCTGGCGTTCCATGTGGGCCGGCCGATGTTGCAGCACGGCAACAGTGACGGCAACGGCAGCGGTGCCTGGCAGGGCGACACAACTGAGGGAGAACGCGAGCTGCTCCAGCCGTCAGACGTCGTGCTGAACAACAACAACAACAACACGCGGCACAACCTCAAGACCACATCAGCTCGATGCACTCAAACGTGCGTTACGTTTATGGAACGAGCTGCCTGCGGACTCCACATGTGGAACACGGAGGCAGTGGCAGTAATGGCCGTGGAGATAACTATCACGGCCTCATCCCCACGTGCACAATCCATGCACGGAGACATCACGGAGCAGTGAGCAGCCTCGATTATCTGGCAGCAATTATCAAAGCCGATTTACCGAGGGCACGACGCACCGTAGACCAACAACACTTCAACGGCGCTGCGCTTTTGTCAAACACAAGTCATTGCCTTTTCAGTGCTTGCAGCCACAGCTGATGCTATGGGTAACTGTGATCCACCGATCCACAGAAGCAAACGCCGTGACCCAGCGTTGCGGTTTAACTCTTGCGTGTTTGGTTGGAAAGGGGCGTCTCAGAGCGTTGGTGAATCCTCATGAGCAAGATGCAACAACGCCAGGGTGGTTTGTTCGCGTGCCTTCCCTTTGTGTCTTCGTGGTGTATTGCAGTTAGCGTGTGTGTGTGCCTGTCGGTGGGTGTGTGTGTGGGTGAACATGTACATCCGAGTGTGTGTCCGTGTGTCATTGTACGTGTCTGTGTGTGTGCTCGTTTGCACGTGTGTATTTGTGCGTGCGTGTGTGTGCGCATTGCTACGTACGTGCTTGTGTGCGTATATATCTGTTACAGGCTATACGGACATTTGTAGGGAGCGGTGGCGCAGCGGTTTGCACACTGTGAAACGAACCCTGCGACTCGAGTTCGATTCCCACTCACGGCCAACACCAGTGACGATTATCTGAAACCAGCCCTGGGCCTCTCCTAGATCTACTCAGCCACAAATTAGTACATTGTGGTTCTGGCCACCAACCTCTTCATGTGCCGTGCCGGCCTTCATAGGTGCTCTCTAACAGCACTTGCCCCAATCGTCTATTAAGGCTATATGGGGGATCTTAATCTTTGTGCATGCGTGCGTGTGCGTGGGGGTCACGCGCAGGTGCGTCGTGTTCGCTCGACCAGACGTCGCGGCGTGAACGAGCGCTGCGCCTGTGTCGGCGTTCGAGCGTGCGCGCACGTGCGCGGAATTCATCAGCGGCGTTCAGCAGGGGCCACACACACACGCATACACACACACGCAAGCAAGCACACACATACACACACACGCACACGCAAGCACACTGGCACACACGCGCATGCGCGCACATGCACGCGGGCACATGCACACGCGCACAATTGCGCGCAGACGCACACACCAACGCGGCAAGATTATGCTTCTCTGCAGTAGTGACAAGAGAGGCCAGCGCAAGCACGTAGACACCCACTTAGAGACAAAGACGGGCACACCTACACACGCGCACACACACACGAACACACGCGCGCACGCACTGTACACCCACCGTCGCGCACATCCACCCACACGGACGCACAGACAAAGGCGCTCACAAATACACGCACACACACACCCAAACATGCCCGCGCGCACACACCCACTCGGACACATCCACCCGCGCATACATGAAAGACAAAGAGACGCAATTGAGCACAATGTGACGCACTCCATCACACACAAAGACAAAAATCCCCACACAGTCTTTAAAAGGCTGTTGGGGCAAGCGTGTTAGCGAGTCGCACCTATGAAGGCACAACACCACGCCCAGCCACCTTTGTCCCCCCAGTGCTGTTGCTGACACACTGCACGAGGTACTAATTCATGGCTGAGTCGACCTAGGGGAGGTCCAGGACAGGCACAGATATTCGCCACTGATATTCTTCGTAAGCGGGAATCAAATTCGGGTCGCTGTGTTCATAGTGCGGCCCGCTAATCACGACACCACCACTAGCCACAATCCCATACAGACATACATACATGGAACACACACACACGAGCCCCAAATTACTGATCTGAATGAGAATGAAGACAAGTCAACTCTAGTAATCCTCATGAACTCAAAGCGCATGACGTCATGTGTCGTCTCACACATTCAAAGGGCACCCCAATTGGCAGCGGTCCCTGTGTGGCACACAAAGTGACTCGGCACCGGCCTGCAGCAAGTGGGCATTAGTCTGCCAGTAGGGCGGGGCACGGGTGACCCCTGTGCGTGACCCCAATCGAGTAAGGGGCCGCGTTCATTCTTTGTCGAATTCAGCCAATTTGGAGGGCGACGCCCGGCCTGGTCATTCTGAGCGTCCATTGTGAAGCGGGTGTCTTTACGGTTACAACGCACCGCAGTAATCGGTATATTTGGGCGTAACCCTCAGTGGGCACGGAAGCTTCACTACACACAGTGCCGGCCTTACACACGCGGCAGGGCGGGTTTTATACGACGCTTCCCGCACCAGCATTTGTTCCGAGGACGCCATCGTGCATTACCGGCGGGTTTTATTCGAATATCTCCACGATTAAAAAAAATGTACATCTGCCTTTCGCACGCACACTCGCTCACATCCGTGTACACGCGCACACGCACACACACAGGCGCACTGCTGCCACCACGATCACGCTCCGACAGTCGTCGGCACGCGGCTCTCGAGCAGGTTAAACGCACGCCCACGGTGACACTCGCTCGCAAGACTCGCTCGCAATGCTGACGATATCACCTAAGGGGACATCCATACACATACACACGGACCACAATAGACCATTGGGGTAAGTGATGCTATAAGCGAGCACCAATTAAGTGGTGTGTTCAACAGCATGCCCAAACGCCTTTGTCTCCCAGGTACTAGTTTTAAATCCGATTTGACCTGGGGGTGGCCCTGGATGGGTTCAAATATCACTCGCCACTGCCGTTAGCCGCCAATAAAACTCCGGTTGCCAGGCTGGTAGCGAATTGCGCGAACCACCGCGTCACCGCTGCCTACAGCGCAAGGAGACACTAAACAACAACAGCAGCAGCAACCGCCGTTCGCCACGAGGTGGCGGTGACGTCACCACGGCGCTTCTGCCAGGCTAGGTGCACAAAGACAGAAACACACACACACAGAAAGACGCGGGTGCTCGCACACGCACGCGCGCACTCGATCGCTCAGGTAGCAGAGTTAGCGCATCTTAAATTCATTACGCCTCCAAAAGAAGCCCAGCATTTGTCCTTCAGCCAAAACCAATTCCACTCGCAGCGTGGCTCAAAAGCCTCGGCGGGCAGCACCCCGGGGCCGTGCAGGCACGCGTTTCAGCACCCCGCCCACCGCGGACAGCTACCCTCGCTCTCGGCGCCGGAGCAAACAAAGCGCTCGCTCGCTCGCTCGCCTGCAAGCCGCGCACTGTAGCTGCGAGTTTTTATTAATATTTGAGATGAAAGGATGGGAATCGGGGGGGGGGGGGGGGGGGGGGCGGCGGCAGTGGTGGTTTGGCGGTGGTGGGGGGCGAGAGCAAATGGAAGCTGTATTTACTGCATTACTGAAAGACAAACGGACCTTTTGAACCGCAAAGCAGCCTCATTTGTATGATTCGCGACGAGCGGCGATGGTCGGGAGGGTGGGGCGACGTCTGTCTCATTGAGTGACCTTCATCAGAGGGGGCTCCATGTTATGACAGCAAATGGCAAATGTGACATTTTTGAGGGATAAATATAAACCAGGCGGCTTGTGCACGCGGCTAGCGGCGGCTCCCAGCCCATCGGCCTCGCCCATTAAATATCGCCCACTGCAC